GTATTGTCGAGGTAGGGAACGAACTTGCTAACAGCGACCACAGAGAAGTGAGATTCAAAATAAAACATGTCAGTCACAAGGAAAATTCCATTAAAGTCCCAGATTTCATAAGGGCAAACTTTGATAGGATGAAAAGGCAGCTGAAACAAGGAACATCACGTGTGGGGGTGAATTACATGACCTCAAGTGAGGTGACCTAAAACAATGTACCCATAGAGGGCGACCTCACTTTGCCTGGTGACCTAACAACGATATCCTCACAAAATATGACTTTTGAGGGTAACTTGACCACGAGATCTGAGGTTGACGAGTTCCTCAACAATTTAAATAATGAGTTACTTAATGCACAAAGGCAGAACATACCATACAAAAAACTCAGATCAATTAACAATGACCCTAAATGGAGAAATAATTATTTAAAAAATATTATTGGACAAAGGAAGGCTATGGGTAAGAGAATAAATCGTGGTGAAGTTTACCTCCGAGATTATTATAAAGTATTTACCGCTAGGGATAAGACTGAGATAAGAAAAGCAAAGAGGAATAATGAACTGAAGGTAGCAAGGGAGGCGAAGTCAAACCCAAGGGATTCTTCCAAATGACAAGATTGGATCAATACAGTCAGATACCGGCGCGCTAATGGATAACGACGGAGAAATTTAAATATGATACCCGAGGCACGGACTCTATACAGGGATGGTGAAGAAAACAGATTAAGCGAAATAGTGGTGATTAGTAACGATGTTAGTAAGCAAATAGACTAACTAAAGCCTAATAAGTCACCAGGCCCTGATAAGATAGTTGTCAGAGATTAAAGGAATGTAAGGAAGAACTTAGTATGGGCCTTAGAAAATTTGTTTACATGTCATTGAAAACAGGTGTAGTGCCAGAATCCTGGAGGAAGGCGACTGTGAAACCAATTTTCAAGAAGGGAGATAGATCACTATCATCTATCTACCATCCAATCAGCTTAACATCAATTGTAGGCAAATTGCTGGAAGCAGTAATTTCAAACTCTATTCAAAATCACCTGGAGAAGCACAAGTTGATTAATGATTCCCAACATGGCTTCACAAGTGGGCGTTCATGTCTGATTAATCTATTAACATTCTTTTCAAATGTGTTCGTGTCAGTGGATGACGGGCATGATTATGATGTGGTATATCTCGACTTTAGCAAAGCCTTCGACAGATTCCCCCACGAAAGACAAATACGAAAAGTGGAGGCTCATGGAGCTGGAGGAAATATCATAAAATGGATTAGGGCGTGAGTTCCAGGACAGAAAATAGCGAGTAAACATTAACTGCACTAAATCCGATTGGGGTAACGTCAATAGGGGTTTACCCCAAGGCTCAGTACTTGGGCCATCACATAAACGACATAGATACAGGCGAAGACAGCAACTTAAATAAATTTGCGACTAATTAACTCTAACGAGGACTTCTCAAAACTACAGGAAGATCTGAAAAAAAATTTCACCTGGTCTGAAAAATGGTAGATGAAATTTAATGAAGGCAAATGTAAATTACTTAATCTAGGAGATGTAAACAGAGAAACCAGATACCAGATGAACAACGTTGATATAGAAGAAAAACGACTGTGAGAAAGATTTAGGGGTAATGATAAGTAGGAATCTTAATCCAAGTCAACAAAGTGTATTTGCTCGTAACAAGGCTAACAAAACACTTGGGTTCATACAAAGAGTGTTAGTTACAAGACTTGCGAGGTTATCCTAAAACTATAACTTGCATTTGTGAGACCTCACTTGGACTAGGCGGTTCAGTTTTGGTAACCGTACTACAGAATGGATATAGTATCCCATGAAAGCACACAGGGGAAGGTGACAAGACTAATCCCGGGCATTAGGAACCTTGAGTACAGAGACAGGTTAAAGCATCTTAATTTGCACTCCCTCGAGAGACGTAGAGTGAGGGGCGATATGATAGAGGTGTATAAATGGAAGTCAGGGCTAAGCAAAGGTGATATAACAAGGGTACTCAACTCTGTCCAACCAGGATCGAACTCGTAGCAATGGTTTTAAATTAGACAAATTTAGATTTAGGCGCGAGCTAGGTAAACACTGGCTTGGAAATAGAGTAGTGGATGAGTGGAACAAGTTACCAAACATCATCATTAACTCCAACACGCTGGGTAGCTACAAATATAGGTTGGATGGATATATGAGTGATAGGGGTTGGGTGTAAATGGGGCTGCCTAGTATGGGTCAATCCGCTGCGGTTTCCTCCATTCTTATGTTCTTATGACTGGCTGGCTGGATGTCTGTCTGGCTGGATGACTGACCGGCTGGATGTCTGTCTGGCTGGATGACTGACCGGCTGGATGTCTGTCTGGCTGGATGACTGACCGGCTGGATGTCTGTCTGGCTGGATGACTGACCGGCTGGATGTCTGTCTGGCTGGATGACTGACCGGCTGGATGTCTGTCTGGCTGGATGACTGACCGGCTGGATGTCTGTCTGGCTGGATGACTGACCGGCTGGATGTCTGTCTGGCTGGATGACTGACCGGCTGGATGTCTGTCTGGCTGGATGACTGACCGGCTGGATGTCTGTCTGGCTGGATGACTGACCGGCTGGATGTCTGTCTGGCTGGATGACTGACCGGCTGGATTTCTGTCTGGCTGGATGACTGACCGGCTGGATGTCTGTCTGGCTGGATGACTGACAGGCTGGATGTCTGTCTGGCTGGATGACTGACCGGCTGGATGGCTGGATGGCTGACTGAATGTCTGTATGGTTGGATGACCATATGGATGACTGGCTGGCTGGGACCGTATGGTAAAGAACAGCATTGATTATTTAGTGTGTGTGTGTGTGTGTGTGTGTGTGTGTGTGTGTGTGCACATACAGGCAGTAAGACAGGTACATAGCATGAATGTACCACCAGCCAGAACCAAAATAATATATGAGAGAGAGAGAGAGAGAGGAGGACGGTGAATGACTGAGTGAATGTTAGCGTGACTAAGGAAAGTCTTGCGTGAGTCACACTATGGCGCCAGTCAGCTCTCTCTCTCTCTCTCTCTCACACACACATCGCACTAATGGTGAGGTGACGCAGCTGAGCAATCTAACAACCATTTCGTAATTATATGCCAGACGCTCCCCCGGCTTGACACAACCGCTCTTTCTGCTTACCTACCAGCCACAAGCCTAGTGGAAGAATTAGCAGTAGCAAGACAACTGAACAAACACAGGATCAAGCGCTCCACCACCCAGGGCCGGATTTACCAATAGGCCAAGTAGGCCATTGGTCTAGGACCCACCGGTATCTGGGGGCCCACTGAAACTAATTTGTCGCGCAGCGTGCCAGCGTATAACCTTGTTTCAAGTGTACACCGAGTATTTCATTTATATTCACAACCATAAGGGCCCCTGTACAATAAGTATAGGGCCCGGAGTATGGGGCCCCTGTACAGTAAGTATAGGGCCCGGAGTATGGGGCCCCTGTACAATAAGTATAGGGCCCGGAGTATGGGGCCCCTGTACAGTAAGTATAGGGCCCGGAGTATGGGGCCCCTGTACAATAAGTATAGGGCCCGGAGTATGGGGCCCCCGTACAGTAAGTATAGGCCCGCAGTGATCTTCAACTGGTGGGCCATGAGGTGGTTCTCAGGTGGGCCACGGACTAGGCCCTATAGTAAAGTGAAGAAAATAAGATAAAATAAGATAATAAAAAAAATATATATACATTTTTTAAATGTCAATGTCCCACCATCGATCTATCTATCTATACATACATATACCACTGGAGAGAGAGAGAGAGAGAGAGAGAGAGAGAGAGAGAGTAAAGTTCAAGAAACCTTCAGCGCCTTGACGTGTGAAGGACAGGATCGTTTCACGTTCAGTACGTGTCAGGTTTACTGTTGGTTTGCTGGCAGCTCGCTCAGCCAGTCAGTATCTTCTCAGCCTCAGCTCCGTCATACTTTTTATTGTGTACGCGGCACTCATTATTAACTAATGATATTTTACATGCTGCATTAATTGTTTTTGTGTCCATTTTTTGTGATATTGGTATCTCTTATAGACTTACACTATTGTTTTGCTTACAGATTATTCTTGGGGATTCTCATGAGATAAATATGTCGTCCCTGAAAAAATATCTGAGTGGCTCACAAAAGAGAAAGTTAAAAGCAGCCAAAGCTGCACAACTGCAATCAGTTCCAAAGCTGACAAAATTTTTTAAACCAAAAGGAGATTCAGAGCCAAGTACCAGTGACAGTAAACTCCCAGGGGATGACACAGAAGATGTTCACTTTCATGATTCAGATGACGAAGCGAGGTCAGCTGAGTCAGTCACAGAGATTAAGTAAATCAACACCTACAGCAATGGAAGTACCACCTGTGACTGGAGCTTCACCCGATTCATCTCTGTTGACTTATAAGAAACATTCTGTGGAACGAGGTGTCAGTGTTGATTTGTGTGTATCAAGTGATCCAGCTGACTGGCTGACAATTGATGATAAACTGATTGAGTATTTACTAAACCATCCTCTTGATCTAAATTGTGAACAAGGTGACTTCTCAAGATCTGCAAGAAGTGAAAATGTGGGTGAAAAGGAAAGAGCTCGATATGTACCCCAATCCTTGTTTACACGTCAAATGGCAAATGATGAAAAAGTTAAAAGGGAATGGCTTGTGTATTCTCCAAAAACTGGAGATGTATTTTGTGTTCCATGTAAGCTATTCAGCAAGCAAGTCTCATTGTTTACTAGTGGGTTTAGCGACTGGAGAAACTGCCAGCGTAGAGTTGCTGAACATGAAAGTAGCAAAGAGCATAAAATCTCAGTTACTACTTGGGGTGTGAGGGCAATTACAGCAAGGCGAATTGATTCCACTTTGGCTTTGCAAGTAGAATTTGAGAGAAAATACTGGAAAGAAGTTCTATTGCGCATAGTTGAAACACTAAAATGTTTTAACATCAAGAGGTCTTCCTCTAGGAGGTAGTGATGAAAGAATAGACTCTAGCAACAATGGGAATTACCTTGGAGTGCTGGAACTCCTGGCAAAATTTGACCCTTTTCTTGCACAGCATCTGGAGAAGTATGGTGCTGTAGGTAGTGGAAAGACGTCATATCTCTCAAAAACGATTTGTGAGGAAATGGTCAATCTGATGGCGGAAGAAATTCACTCAATTATCATAAGTGAAGTGAAACAATCCAAATATTATTCAGTTAGTGTAGATTCCACACCGGATGTTAGTCATACTGACCAACTTACATTCATAGCTCGTTCTGTCAAACCTGATGGCAACCCTGTTGAGCGATTTCTAAAGTTCATAGACATACATGACCATGGTGCAGAGAGCATAGCCTCAACTGTTGTTCAGTTAATTAAAGATGTTTATCTTGATTTGAGTGACATGAGAGGGCAGAGTTATGACAATGCTGCCAATATGTCAGGCATTTACACTGGTCTCCAAGCCAAAATAAAGGCTATGAATCCCCTGGCATATTATGTCCCTTGTGCAGGTCACTCCTTGAACCTTGTAGGAACATCAGCTGCCAGCAGTTGCCTTGGGTCTGTTTCATATTCCAGATTTTTGCATGCCTTATACAACTTCTTCTCAGCTTCCACATATAGATGGGATCACTTGAAAGCTGGAGTGCGAGGGCTGATGCTGTTAAAGCAGTGTTTTTACAATACCTTGAGATAAAGTCAGCACTGGAGAACATATGGAAGCATTTGAAACAGCACTTCTTACTATAATATGGTATAAAATCTTAACAAGGTTTAATGCAACCAGCTTATCACTTCAAAAAGTTGAGACCAACCTTCTGTCAGTTGTGAAACTGTATGAGAGTTTGATCTCCTTCGTCTCAGAAACGAGACAGGGTCAGTTTGATGAAATAGAAGATCAGGCTAGGGCTTTTGCTGAGCCTGTCTACACAGAGACAACAAAAAGAACAAAAAAGAGAAAACATTTCTTTGATGAATCAGTTGGCAATGAAACTCAACTTGATCCACGTGAGAAGTTCAAGGTGGACAATTTCTACACCATATTAGATTGCTTTAGGAATGAATTAGAACACAGAGTGAATGCCTACTCAGAAATAAAGAAGCTGTTTAGCTTCTTAACGGAGTATGACAGTATGAAATATGATGATCTCAAAGCCCAACTGGAATTGGTTGTCAGTACCTATTGCAGTGACCTGGAAGCATCTGTTCTAGATGAGTTTATGCAATTTAAAGACATTTTGTCTTCTGAATCTGACAGGTCAGTGACAAACATCTCCACTTTGCTGAGGTCCAAAGATGGTATTTTGTCAACTGCTTTTCCAAACATTAGTTGTCCCAGTCAATATTTCTGAAGTTCAAATCCCCCATAATGCACAGGTTGTTATATTTTGCTGCCCTACTCATGTCCTGCCATTTAGGCTGAGCTGCTTCCTTCCCAAGACTTGGGGGCCTGTAAATCACTCCCATAATTTGTTTTTCTCTTCCTTTCATGATTTCTACACATACAGACTCGGTTCCTATTTCACCCTTTATTGAATTATTAATACAACATTTTAATGAGCAGCAGTGTACATGAGCAGAGTGTACATGAGCAGATTGTACATAACCAGCAGTGTACATGAGCAGCAAAGTACAGCAGCAGCGTACATGACCAGCAGTGTACATGAGCAGCAAAGTACATGAGCAGCAGTGTACATGAGCAGCAGTGTACATGACCAACAGTGTACATGAGCAGCAGTGTACATGACCAGCAGTGTACATGAACAGCAGTGTACATGACCAGTGGTGTACATTAGCAGAGTGTACATGAGCAGCAGTGTACAACAGTGTACATGAGCAGCAGTGTACATGACCAGCAGTGTACATGAGCAGAGTGTACATGAGCAGCAGTGTACAACAGTGTACATGAGCAGCAGTGTACATAAGCAGAGTTCACATGAGCAGTAGTGTATATGAGTAGCAGTGTACATGAGCAGAGTGTACATGAGCAGCAGTGTACATAATCAGTAGTGTACATGAGCAGCAGTATACTTCAGCAGCAGTGTACATGAGCAACAGTGTACTTGAGCAACAGTTTACTTGAGCAGCGGTGTACATGAGCAACAATGTACATGACCAGCGGTGTACATGAGCAGCACTGTACATGAGCAGCAGTATACATGACCAGCAGTGTACATGAGCAGCGGAATACATGAGCAGCTCTGTACATGAGCAGCAGTGTACATTGTCAACACTGTACAAGAGCAGCAGTGTACATGAGCAGCAGTATACATGAGTAGCTGTGTACATAAGTGGCAGTGAACATGAGCAGTAGTGTACATGAACAGCAGTATACAAAAGTAGCTGTGTACCTGAGCAACAGTGTACATGAACAGCAGTGTACATGGTCAAAAGTGTACATGAGCAGAAGTGTACATGAGTAGCAGTGTACATGAGCAGCAGTATACATGAGCAGCGGTGTACATGGCCAGCAGTGTACATGGTCAAATGTGTGCATGAGCAGAAGTGCACATGGTCAACACTGTACAAGAGCAGCAGTGAACATGAGCAGTAGTATACATGAGCAGCAGTAAGCATGAGCAGCAGTGTACATGAGCAGCAGTGTACATGAGCAGCAGTGCACATGAGCAGATATGTACATGAGCAGCAATGTACATGAGCAGCAGTGTACATGAGCAGCAATGTACATTGTCAACACTGTACAAGAGGAGCAGTGTACATGAGCATCAGTGTACATGAGCAGCAGTATACATGAGCAGCAGTGTACATGAACATCAGTGTACATGAGCCGCAGTATACATGAGCAGCAGTGTACATGACCAGCAGTGTACATGAACATCAGTGTACATGAGCAGCAGTATACTTGAGCAGCAGTGTACATGAGCCGCAGTATACATGAGCAGCAGCATACATGAGCAGCAGGTATGACCAACAGTAGCATGAGCAGCAGTGTACATAAGGAGCAGCATACATGATCAGCAGTGTACATGAGCAGCAGTATACATGAGCAGCAGCGTACATGTCCAGCAGTATACATGAGCAGCAGTATACATGAGCAGCAGTGTACATGAGCAACAACGTACATGAGCAGTGGTATACATGAGTAGCAGTGTACATGAGCAGCAGTGTACGTGAGTAGCAGTGTACATGAGCAGCAGTGTACATGAGCAGCAGTGTACATGAGCAGGAGTGTACTTAGCAGCAGTGTACATGCGCAGCAGCGTACATGATCAGCTTTGTGCATGAGCAGCGGTGTACATGAGCAGCAGTATACATGAGCAGCAGTGTATATGAGCAACAGTGCACATGAACAGCAATGTACATGAGCAGCAGTGTACATGAGCAGCAGTAAGCATGAGCAGCAGTGTACATGAGCAGCAGTGTACATGAGCAGGCAGAGCAGAAGTGTACATGACAGCAGTGTACATGAACAGTTTTGTACATGAGCAGTGGTGTACATGAGTTAACAATGTGCATGACCAGCAGTGTACATGAGCAGCAATGTATATGAGCAGTGGTGTATATGAGCAACAATGTACATGAGCAGCAGTGCATGAGCAGCAGTGTACTTGAACAGAATGTACATAAGCAGCAGTTTACATGAGCAGAAGTACATGAGCAGCAGTGTACATGAACATGGTGCATGAGCAGCGTGGTGTACATGAGCAGCAGTATACATGAGCAGCAGTGTATATGACCAGCAGTGCACATGAGCAGCAGGCATGAGCAGCAATATACATGGAGCAGCAGTGTGTATATGAAAGCAGGATGGCGAGCAGAGGTGTGGCTATGAGCAGCAGGTTATGGCGGCAGTGTACACTGAGCAGGCGGCGTTAAGGAGCAGCAGTAAGCATGAGCAGTGTACATGAGCAGCAGTACATGAGCAGCAGTGCACATGAGCAGGGGCAAGGATGACCAGCAGTGTAATATGAGCAAAGGTGGCTACATGACCAGCAGTGTACATGAGCAGCAGTGTATATGAGCAGCTGTGTACATGAGCAGCAGTGTACGTGAGTATCAATGCACATGAGCAGCAGTGTATATGAGCAGCTGTGTACATGAACAGCAGTGTGTGGCATGAGATATACATAGCAGTATACATGAGCAGCACTGTACATGAGCAGCAGGTATAAGGAGCAGAGGTGCACATGATCAGCAGTGTATATACAGCAGAGCAGCAGTGTACATAAGCAGTGGTATACATGAGTAGCAGGTACAAGAGCAGCAGAAAATGGAGTACTAGTACATGGAGCAGCAGTGTACATGAGCAGCGGTGTACATGAGCAGCAGTGTACATGAGCAGTTAGTGTGTTCTTAAGCAGTAGTGTGATGCTCAGCAGTGTACATGAGCAGCAGTACATGAGCAGCCGCACCTAAGCAGCAGTGTACTTAAGCAGCAGTGTACATGAGCAGCAGTGTACATGAACAGCAGTGTGCATGAGCAGCGGTGTACATGAGCAGCAGTGTACATGACCAGCGGTGTACATGAGCAGCAGTTTACATGAGCAGAAGTGTACATGAGCAGCAGTGTACATGAACAGCTTTGTGCATGAGCAGTTGTGTATACATGAGCAGCAGTGTACATGAGCAGCAATGTACATGAGCAGCGGTGTACATGTACATGAGAAGCAGTGTACATGAGCAACAATGTAAATGAGCAGCAGTATACATGAGCAGCACTGTACATTATCAGCAGTGTACATTAGCAGCACTGTACATTACCAGCAGTGTACATGAGCAGCAGTGTACATGAGCAGCGGTGTACATGAGCAGCAGTGCACATGAGCAGCAGTGCACATGAGCAGCAGTGTACATGAGTAGCAGTGTACCTAAGCAGCAGTGTACTTAAACAGCAGTGTACATGAACAGCAGTGTACATGAGCAGCAATGTACGTGAGTAGCAGTGTACATGAGCAGCGGTGTACATGAGCGGCAGTGTACATGAGCAGCGGTGTACATGAGCAGCAATGTACATGTGCAGCAGTTTACATGAGCAGAAGTGTACATGAGCACCAGTGTACATGAACAGCTTTGTGCATGAGCAGCGGTGTATACATGAGTAGCAGTGTGCATGAGCAACAATGTACATGAGCAGCAGTGTACATGAGCAGCAGTGTACATGAGCGGCAGTGTACATGA